ATTGTTCAGGTTAAAGAATTACAAATATACCTGAGCAGACGTCTGCAATATGAATTAGTTAGCCGCACTAGAAATGGAGTGCACCCAAAAACGAGCAGCCAAAAATTACATGTATGTATTGATTTGTTGACTGCAGGGCTTGCCACTCTTTCCCGTAAAAATCTTACTTGTTACGGAAACCACAGCTGCAGCGCCTAGCATGTCTGAGAGATGTGACCCCGTACTCCCCAGTCAAGTCTCCGAGTGAATGAGTGGCTGATATTGATTTGTGCTTTCTATCATAAGCTATGTAAGAACAAGACTGGTCTCACTAGCAATGGGAAAGTACATAATATGAACCATGAAAACTTGGGGAAAATAAATAGGCAAAATAATTGTTTTGTGGTGCAATAGAAAGCATCTCTGGTTTTTAAGAGTCCTGGGCGGAAAGCGACAGCAGATGGTTACATATGGTACAAAGATGGTATATCCTCGTAATCTAGTGGATAGTACCCCCCTCTCTCTCTCTGTGTTTCTGTGTGTGTCTCTCCTCTCTCTCTCTCTCTCTCTATATATATATATATATATATATATATATATATATATATCGAGCTCTTTGTGGATCAGATTTAATAACTAATATTACTAGGATCCACCCGGATTATATACCAACAGATCGATTACCTGTACTACATATATATATATATATATATATATATATATATATATATATATATATAATCAGGTATAACAGCCAAAATATTCAAATTGTGTAACAGCAAAACTGTCTAAGTGTTAGATTAAGCTTTGAACCGTTGTATGTTAAAAATGATTAAAGAAATCATTCTAGAATTCTCCAAGGTTTTTATAACACTATTGAACTGTACTTTGAGCAATGAGAATGTATCTAAATTGAAATGATGATTACTCTTTCAGTTGTGACCTCCTGATCCAGTTTTCCTCTCTACTGTTCCCTCTTTTTTAAACTTATTCACCGTTCTCTTAATGATTCTTGAATGTATTGGAAGATGGAAGCCAGAGTATGAACGTTGGTACCATTACTGAAGGCCTGAGTGATCTTTTTCCTCTCACCATTGCTCAGTTGAGAAGATAGTTGCGCTGGCACAAAACTATTTTAACCTGTTCTATTTCTAGCTGAATAACTCAAAGGGTTTTTCAATGATTCTTGCGGCAACTAGTATCAAGGTGGCTAAACGCCTTATTTGAAAATCTGAAATAAAAGAAAATCAATTGGTTTAATGGTTTTTTAGATGTTAAACATTTTGTGGGATGGATAATTATTTTTTTACACCCGGTATATATAGATAGATAGATAGATAGATAGATAGATAGATAGATAGATAGATGAATTAGGATCAAATATGGATTAGAATCTGACAGAATGATAGGATAAGGAACAAATAGAAAACGTTCATAAATTTAATGTTTCACTTTTATTTAAGCTTCATCAGAAAACGAAATATGAATATCTGTATATATAAAAAAAAATGACAAGAGGAAAACATTTTATGCCAACGCGTTTCGTTCATGTGGGACTTTATCTCGGCAAATGGGGCGATTTTTATTTGGTAACCGGTATTTATACACTGTAGTAATGTAGAGAAAAATGGCATTAAGTTTTCACATTTCAAATGGGAGAACTGTTGTATCTCGTGTTTTCAAGATAACAGAGAGAAATAAATAAGGAAGACAAACTCGTAGGTAAGTGATGACATAGAAGGTTTACTAAACGAAGGTACACTTAGCAATTGACCGCATGCAAACTCGGTATTTACCCAAGCTCTCCACAGAGCGGGATGCTGCATAAGGCCGGTTTAACGTAGGTTTTTCCAAGCATGTAGTCCCGATCAAAAATTCTCCGTATACCCCGTAAAAACCGGGTCGGGTTTATCTACCTTCCCAGACGAGACTCTGACCTTCGGCATAGCCTCGTCTGGGTTCCTCTCGGCCCGAAGGCAGAGAGTTCGACAAGCACTAAGAGCTTAGCAAGCGGCTAAGACCTAATGTTGACTCGGTATTTACCCAGCCTCTCCACAAAGTAGGATGCGGCACAAGGCCAGTTTTAGGTGGGGCGATTCCGAGCCTGGAAGCTCAGGCAAAAATTACCCGGATACACGGGGCCGGCTTTCTCTAACACCCCACACGAGACTCTGACCTTCGGCATAGCCTCGTCTGGGTTCCTCTCTGCTCGAAGTTAGAGAGTTCGACGAGCACTAAGAGCTTAGCGCGCGGCTACGACCTAATGCTGACTCTGCTCAACTCCGCTAATTTACATAAACGGACGATTCTGTTCCCTTATGTCCTATATCACAAGAACTCTCTAAAATATTTAAAAACTTACTATGTGATGTCAGATAAATTATGGAGGACGCTAAGTGATGTAATTTTTCGGCTTATTAAACGAAAGTTAGTTATGGTTATTGTTGTATATATATGGTTATTGTTTATATATATATATATATATATATATATATATATATATATATATATGTTTAGTTATCATTATTTTTTATTTCATCTATTTTTTATTTTAATTGTCATGTGTTAACCATTTTCTTTTCTTTTTTTAATTTTTTTATGGTCATGAGCTTGAGAATGGAGCATGACTTTTAAGAAAGAAGATATTTGAAAAATTCCGGGATGTAAGTTGATATTTTGACAAGAATCGATAACAGCACTTTCAATAACTTTTTGGTCTACGTATTTTATTTTCTCTTTTAATAGAACATTTTTATATCAAAATTGTGGTTGAATAATACATTGATATGTCGGAGATTTTTCTTATGTTCATAAATGCATTTTTGTTTAAATTTCGGCAAGTTTCAACAACATATTGTAAGGAACAGCTGTTAGGGTTTATTATATATATATATATATATATATAGATAGATAGATAGATAGATAGATAGATATTTCAAAATTATTTTTTATGAACATTTTGTGTAGTAGTAATTATTTTAATATTAAAATCGGGTATATTATTTTGAATAGTCTATGTTCATAGCTCATAAGATGTATATTTTTAAGTAATTTTTTATTATTTTTGTTGCCGTAGATCTTGTATGCTTCCCATTTAGCATTGAGGATGAAATAGTAAGGATTTTGCAGGAGTTTAAAAGTATTTTCAATATATATTTCTTCAGACAAATATTCTTGTCTCCTTTCCCTTAAAATCCTTTTAACCCACGGATACAACCAGATTTACATACGGTCCGTTTAGTTGCACTTGGTCTGAGGATCGCATTGAAGCGTAAAACTGACACTCGCTATACAATGCCGATTCCTTCGTCTGCACTTACACAAACACACACTCTCTCTCTCTCCTATCTCACTTCCACCCTCTCTCTCTCTCTATCTATCTATCTTTCTATCTATCTATCTATCTATCTATATATATATCATCTATCTCTCTATATATATATACATCTATCTATCTATCTATCTATATATCTATCTATCTATCTATCTATATATATATATATATATATATATATATATATATATATATATACAGAATATCAGCACTTATCGGGAACCTCAATTTCCACTTTTACATTTTATATTTATATACACTTGATCTCTGATATTGAGCAATTCTACCTATAAATATAGCACACCTTATACTATATTTTATCATATATATATATATATATATATATTGAAAATTGCGTGAAACTCAGAATTGTATAATCTATGTAAGGTATTATGTATATTTCTTAATATAAATTAAATAGCTCTGTTATTTAACACTGAGAACTGTTTTTCTTATACTATAGAATATATATATGTACATATATATATATATATGTGTGTGTGTGTACATGTATTTGTATACGATCGCTCGCTCGTATATCTACGTATATTTACCCATTATACTTATATATATAAATATATATATATGTATATTTACCCATTATATATATATATATATATATATATATATATATATATATATATATATATATATATATATGGGGCCAAATCAGAAGCAATGATTAAGCATCTAGCCTATATATATTGTTAAAGAGTTCGGTTCTTACTGAGTGACTTGCTATTGGCAATCTGAGTTAGAATTAGGTTCGTAAATATTTTTGAAGCAGTTATGTAATGAGAAGCAATATGTAATATATATGTAATGCGCAGACGAGAGTGAAAATATATTTATCAAGCTTATTCTCGTCTGGCAAAAGGTCAAGGTATAACAACAGGTCACAGCGATCGAACTCATTATGATGATAATTTGACTAATTTGTTAACTGCTTCATTTTACGTACCAGACATTATCAATATTTACCTTGCTTAACTAAGTCTGGCATGAAGTCATCCGGCGATGATCGAATGCACATGCTCTGTGTGTTTAGATTTCCCTCCTTTACAACAGGAGCTATATGCGCGTATGTCGGCCTGTGTGATCGTTCATATGCGCTGACACGTGTATCGTGATAATACACTTATATATATATATATATATATGTGTGTGTGTGTGTGTGCGTGTGTGTATGTGTATACATGTGTGTGTGTGAAAAAAATGTGAAAAAGAGAAACCGAATTGATGTGAAGAGAAATTAAGTATTAATCTTAATTTGTCCTTGATCCTCTTTTTATGTGTGTTTTTTGGCGATTTTTAAATGTATTTTCCTCTCTAAATTCCTTATCACTGTTTCAGTTGCAGTGAATCAACAATAATCCTGTAAATAATCCGTTAATTTCCTTTCTGTATACAACAATAAATTCACATCTACCTTAGCCTTCTATTTATTTATGTATTGATTTATCTATTTGTCTCGTCCGTCTAATTCCAATATATGTATATATATATATATATATATATATATATATATATATATATATATATATATATATATTATATATATATTAGTTAGGTAGGTAGGTAGGTAGATGAAAATGAATAGATTTTTCCTTGACACTTTAAATTGTTTCTGAAGTCGACAACGCTTCGCCCATTTCTGGCTTCTGACTCATAATTTGTTTGCTTTCAGTCCGCCCCCTCTCACACTGTTTGCCTGCCCCTCTCTCTCTCTCTCTCTCTCTCTCTCTCTCTCTCTCTCTCTCTATCTCTCTATCTATCTATCTATCTATCTATCTATCTGCTTCCCTATCTGTCTGTCTGACTGTTTCTCCCTCTCTCCATTCTCATTCATCTCCTTGTCTGTATCTCTATTCCTACATCTCTCCCTATCACTTTCTCCATTACCTTCTCTCTCTCTCCCCCCCATCTCTCGCTCTCTCTCTCTCTATCTATCTATCTATCTATCTATCTATCTATATCTCTCTGCTTCCCTATCTGTCTGTCTGTCTGTCTGTCTCTCCCTCTCTCCATTCTCACTCATCCCCTTGTCTGTATCTCTATTCCTACATCTCTCCCTATTCCTTTCTCTCATTACCTTCTCTCTCTCCCTACTATCACTCCATCCTTTCACGCATCTTTTCATTTTTATCCTCTCTTCTCTTATCTCTTCATATATGTTTCTCCATCTCCTCTCTCCTCTCCTCTACTCACTTTTCTTCTCTAGCCAATCGCTCCTTATCCTTCGACCTCCATCTCTTTCTCATTTCATCCTCTCTCTTCCTCTCCTCTCACTCTCACTTCATCTCGTTCAATCACTTCACATTTCTTTCTCAATGTCTTTCGCTCTTTTGCCTCACTCTCCTCCTCTATCCCACCTTTTACTACTCTCTTTATTTTGTTAATCGCCCTTTCTCAATTTCCTTCTCTCTTTTTTCACACTCTCTCTATTCATCTCTCTACTACTCTCTCCATTTTGTTAATCTATCTTTCTTAATTTCCTTTTCTCTCTCATTTCTCTTACACTCCTCTATTCATATCTCTACTTCTCTTTTCCTCTTTGATATTATGTGAGCATTAGTACATCAGCCTGGGATCAGAGTATATGTGCGCGAGAAACTAACGAATTGCTCCGAAGCACACTTCCTGTAAAGCATCAAGGCTCTCTGCGGAACTCAGTATTTGAAAATTAATTTTTGCTTACCGCCTCGGCAGACGAATAAGGGCTCGGCCACTTACCTAATTACCTCTGAGCCGACATCAATTTAATCGAATTAGGATTCACTTATGGGTTCATATATATATATATATATATATATATATATATATATATATATCATATATTGTTCATATGGGTTCATATGGGTTCATATATATATATATATATATATATATATATATATATATATACATGATTGTTGTGGAAAAAGTGTGGAAAAAATGTATGACAAAGTGAGAAAAACTTTCGAGTTCGATGAAGTCCTAAAGTACGAAACGTGTCACACGATTTTTTTTACATTTTTCATATATATATATATATATATATATATATATATATATATATATATATATATCACACGAATTTTTTACATTTATCATATATATATATATATATATATATATATATGACAAAATAAAATATATATATATATATATATATATGACAAAATGTAAAAAAATTCGTGTGACACGTTTTTATATATATATATATATATATATATATATATATATATAACTATTGCATTTGATAAATTGTTTCGTATAGTAATAATAATAATAATAATAAGAAGAAGAAGAAGAAGAAGAAGAAGAAGAAGAAGAAGAAGAAGTGTCTCTGTCTTTCTACAAATTATTTTCATGGCATCTACTCTGATAATTTTTTTCCCTCGTGCCCCGTGAATTTAAGAGTGCTACTAGTTTGGAATCTTGGTCCCACCCGTTTACTATTGAAATAGCTCAATGCAACCGCCTCTTCTACTCCAACAGTTTCTTTTCTCGCACTTCCCACCTGTGGGACTACTTTCTTCCCTGATAACTGGAATCTTCAAAAATTGCAACACCAACCGCCATCTTCTGTCTTCTTAAATGCCGTTCATTTTTTCCCTTTCCTCAATCCCTCTATATTCTCAGTGTTCTCATTCTCTTTCACTCCCTCTAACCTCCCTGCGTACTAGTGCCATTCCCCACTTTGCTTGGGCAAAATATATCCTTGATGTGAAGACTGAAAGAAAACGCTGTTAATGATTCACTTATCAGCATTTAATATCGAAGAAAAAGTCAACAATAAAATCAAATTTTTTTAAAAAAATACTTTTCACATCCTGTTATCTTAACGAAGCTTTACAAAATCAATTTTGCTCTACTTTCTACCGTCGATTCCAAAGATCAAAGTGAACCGTTTTTTTTCTCTTCCATTGTTTGAAAATGTAATGTGTTCGATTAAATCGCATCTAAAGATTTGTGAGCAGTTTGAGACAAAAAAATAAATAAATAAAAGACTTATTTTGAAATTCACCGTTTCCTGAAACCTTGTCTTTCACAGAAATTAACTATACATTAATATGTTGGACACTTGTCACCACATCGAGGATTTATGAAACCAATACGTAAGAGTCGTTCAACTGCATACATGGTGACACACTAAAAACTAAATGCCTAGGGGGAAATTCAATGGAAATGATTTTACTATAGAAGTAGTTGGAAAGTTAAATATTAACGCAATGCTAATTTCCTCCTCACAAAGTATTTATAATACCATAAGAAGAATCTTACACTCGACCTAAAGATGCAGATAAAATGATCGGCTTCCTGTACCGCTCCAGTAAGCACCTGACTCCTCATGCTATCCTTTACCTTTATAAGAGTCAGATCAGGCCCCAAATGGAGTACTGTTGTCATATTTGGACAGGAGCTGCCCAAACCTCACTTTCCAGTCTTGATAGAGTTCAAGAGCATCTCTGAGTTCTTGTTGAAGAATTATTTTCCACCCTCCAAACTCTCCCTCATAGGCGGGATGTGGCGAGTCTCTCACTGCTCTATCGCTACCTCCATGGAAAGTGCTTGGACAAATTGCATTCCTTGGTTCCGTCAGGTCTAATCTTAACGAGTAGGACATGCCATGCCACTTACATAGTATCAAAACACCCACATTCCCTCCGTATTCCATCAGCCAGAAGTAAGTTCCACTCGAACAGCTTCTTCCCACGAACCACTGTCCTGTGGAACAAACTCACTCGAGAATGTTTCCCCGATCAATACCACTTAACATAAACCTCTACCTCTACAAGGCACCCTTGTACAGGGTGAACCGTGGTGTAAAAAAGTTTTCATTCACGCCAATAAATAGACATATGTATATCAACACAATAAATGGGTAGAATGAATAGATTTAACATATTAATTTCGAACAATATATACAAGCTTTAATACAAGTAACACCTCCAAAACAAAACTGTTCACTATTCATCATCTCGAAGAATATTTTTGCTTTCTATCAGCATATGGCTGATGCTACCCTCCAGGGGATCAACTCACTGTGACATCTTGATATCACGTTTTCCACTGACATGAAGAGAAACAATTATATCGAATCAATCGCTAAGTCCTCTGCTAGGAAAGTTGATTCACTGTGTCAGGAAAGAAACTTTTTCTTGACAGAATTTATCTTGCACTTTTATAAGTATCTCACTCGTCCTTGCACTTAATAGTGTTGACAGATATGGCTGGATGTTTCTGCTATGTATCTATAGATTCTTGATAAAATCCAAAGATCAATCTGCAACGTTATCGGTCTAAACGTGTCATCTCGGCTTCAGTCACTTTTCCAGAGGTTAGTTTCCCACCGCCTTTTTTTATAAATATTTTCATGGCATTTTTTTTTATTAACTTTCCTCTTAGGTATCTTGACTTCGTTAATTTAAGTGTAGTGCTAGATTGGCAACTAGGGTTCTCACCATTTTTACTATTGAAATTGCTAAGTGCAACCGTAAGTTCTATTCTAATAGTTTCTTCTTCTCGTCCATAACTCGCCTGCAGAATTCTCTCTTCCAGATTTTGCTTTCCTGTCAACTATGATCTTCAAAACTTTTAAAAGCAACGTCAATCTTGAACGTTATTTGATACATTCTCCTCAATGACGTTTTCTTTGTTTCATTCGCTCTCGGTAGCCCCCACTCCTATCACCAGCGTTTTCGTGGATTTATCACATTGTTTGGGGGTGAAAGGTTAATGATAATATATAGTCAGCCTATTAATTCCAAATTCATGCAATCTTGCGTCGATGAGTACGCTCTAGAAATCCCATCACCACCAGATGATTTAAACTTTTTTTTTATGTTTGGTTACGACGTTGCGACGTGAGTCGAAGCATGGCTTCATCAGTTCATTATAAGATTGTTTGACTTTGTTCTCAATGCGCCAACGATAAAGTCACCAACCTAGCCACCCTGTTCTACTTTTTTTTTTTCACGGCCCTCTAGCGAAATCCTTGTAAATACACGTTGTTTTCTTTTACCGGCCGTATCGCTTAACTTGTAGGTCAAGTGATAGTAGGTCTCCCCAGTATTCCAGAACCCTCCCCAATATTCCTAATGATTTTACTAATGCTCTTCTCGACAGTAAAGGGCAGTCTAAATGCTGTAGGAAGAATTGTTTTACCAGGAGAGAACATTCTAACCATTTCTGTTGTTGTTGTTTCTGCGAAAAGTTTAAGATTACCGTTTTCCTTATTACCGAAATTCCAATCTTCATATCATTAGATTTCTTCCCTTGCCGTCCGTTGGATCAGACGAAAATTTGGTTGTATGTTTTGTATTATATTATCAACAAGAATATCCATCTATCGATCGTACACAGGAGATTGCATAAACAATTCTGTATGAGCGCTTGTGCAGTGACTGCTAGTATGCGTTCCGGCATTTGTGCGCATGTGTACAACAGCAACGTCTGCCTTTGCAACGTGGAATATCTTCTGTGGTTATTCTTTTTTACGATTTTATGTTTTATTATTGTTACTATGTATCTAAGGGCGCGCTGGCGTAGGCGATTCAAAGATCCAATGTTCTTAAACAAGCAAAACGGAGATGAAAATGCGCTTCGGTTATAGTAAATTAGTTTTGTGAATTATCTAAGATATTCGCGGAAGTTATAAGTAGCTTGGTTTTTGCTAACATCAGAGATCGATTTTCTTGAAGAAAAAAAAATAAAAAGAAGAGTGATGTAGTCATATATTGAACTGGCTGAAATAGACATAAACGTTCCTTTCACTTCTTCTGTTAGTATCACATTGCTTGGACGCTTAATGCTAAACAGCGTTTTTACAGAGAGTCAAAGATTTCGTTGAAAGCGTAGAGGAAAGATGTACTATTCACTTTTGATTAAAAACAACGCTTTGCAACATAATGTGCCCCTGGAGTGATGTGGGTGCCAAAGTTGGGACCACAGAAGTAAAACACGGAACACGGATCAGATGTAAGAAAGATATATTAACAACAGGTTACAGAGATAGTGTAAGCGGAGCTTACTATATGTTAGTGTCCAACACTGGTAGTCGTACGAGACTCACACTGTCTCTCTGTGTCACTCTCTGTCACTCTTTAGAGTGCTATGTCGCCTACTTAATATCGGCCTGGAAGAGTCTATTGTGTAGGTAGTTTCCGGTCTCACAATACCCCCTTCCAAAGAGTTTTTGAAAAGGAGAGAAAAAATAAAACTGTTAATACTTTTTCCTCTTGGGATTTACGTCGAGCGGTTGAGTAAATTTCCTTTTCCTTCCTGAGCGTCGCACTTCAGGAGAGACTTGGGGCATGTCGAGATCGAACTAGAAATCTTGATGCGTGAGCCACAGCTTTTCGCGAACCATCTGGCAGTTTATGTAAAATGCCGTACGAGCTTGCATCACTTGCGACTATGATGTCGAGACTAGGGTCGTAATGGGTGAGGGAGAGGTCTGAAGTACGAGTTTTCTTGATCTTCTCGAATTTCTCTTGGCATTCCGGGGTCCATGACCATGCTTTGTCCTTTTTTAAAAGTTGGTTGAGAGGTCCTCTCAAATTTTGCATGTTCTTAATGAACCC